AATGAGTCCGCTCTGGAGGTCAAATAACATCAACAATTCATTGCTCCCCTAGTAAAGCTTTTCTTTCTTAATGTGGCGACACTCGCTCAATTTGGTAATTTGCTTATAATAGGAGCTCCTGCCTATCATCGACTTCATTGTAACTAAAATAATTTTGACTTAAGCAGTATTAGATCGCTACTTCCAAAGGTTGTATGCTCAGGAGAGACAAGGTCCAAGCATGAAATAAAGAGAAAGATTTCGAAATTGGAGCAATTGAATATTGAGGAAATGAACACTGAAAATAGCAGTGTATGGCAGGTAACTTGTTTAAGTCCTGAACCCCCACAACCAAAAAAGGCTATTGCACTGTTGGCCAGTCTGTAGCAGTAGATGATTTTCATACAAAGAGCATTAGCTTGAAGAGATCGTTAGCGCACTCAGTGCTTGTCGAGAGGCATGCCTAGAGCCCTCTGAAGCTTCGTATGAATTATTTTCACCAAAAGCTGAAAACTATCCGTGATAACTTTCTAAATCTATCCCAAACTCTGTTCGGTATGCTTTATTGATGGATGCGACAAGAGTCAAATCAATGTTTACAGTCAGAACGAGCTTCGGTGGGAGGTCCTTTCCATCTAAATTTTACTACCTAGTATATTGTTCATTTGGGCGGAATGGAAAGTTTTTCTTCTCGGTAAAACTACTTTCTAGTATCACCATATGTAAGCCAGATTGGAGCGCGACCCAGCTTGGTTTCATCATAAAAAAAAATTTACACATTACGAAAGAGCACAAATTGACCCATGATCTTGAACAGATAACGGAATGTGTCAAGGTGGAGCTTTTGGAATGATTTGTTCAGACTCGCAGCTTCTAAAATATAACCTTCATATACCAAGTGGTAGATGTCATTCCTTGAACAAAAAAGCCGCCGCACCGCCTATAAAATCTAAGAGAGTAATCTGCGTCTAAATCCGGCACAGATCGCCAAAATGTTTCTCCTCAGCCATTTCCTGACTTGATACTATTTACCAGAGAAGCTTGTGCCGCTTATTGCCCCGATTATAAAATTATCAGAGTTTCGGAGATTGAAAATTTAATATTGAGTAGTATGCCAGTGACAGCTGGCTAGAGTAATGACGTTGTAAAAGGCTGCCAGCAAGTGGATATCTAACTATATCACTGAAACTCACTTGATAACGATTGCCCTAAGTAAGGAACAAATAGAAATAAAGACTTACCTCCAGGAAGCAAATGCATAAAGTGTTCCACAATTCTAATAGCATAATCAATATTTTCTCCATAAACTGGAAAGTGGGTTCCTATGGGTGCTAGGCGGCTTACAGTTGCAGTTGATGGTCCGTTGAGGGTTGAACTGGGTCTAAAAATGGGCATTCTATTCATCTCGGTTGCTTGGGTCTTGTCTTGAAGCCTGAGCCTTGACTTGTCTTCCTGCTTGGGTCTTGTCTTGAAGCTTGTGCCTTGACCTGATTCCCTGTTTGAGTCCTTTAAAGTTTATGTCCTGTCAGTTCCTGATTGGCTTTTGTACTTTTCCTTATCGTTTACACTAGTTACCTTGTCTGACCTCTACCCTAAGGCTAGCTTCGTTGTCTTGATCCGGTTCTAATTTTCGGTCTGAACAATTGCCTTTTGTAATGATGCTTTTTTTCAGATATCTTGACACAGCCGGGCTTGATGCAGCTTTTCAACAAAAACACGTTTCTTATAATGTTTGCTTGCTCGCCCCGATGGCGTCGCTTGCAATCTTTATGGCTTAATGTTGCTTATGGATCCATACTCTCCTTAGCCATGGTCGACTCGTCCTTAAGCTGAGTTGCAAACCTCTCCGGGCTCTTTTCGCTACAGCTGTTGTGTATACCAGATGTACGACTTTCTTAGTAAACTTGGATATACTTTGGTGATCGACAACCCGAGATTGGTTTTGCGGTCTATGAAGATGGTCGTTCGCAAAGTTCTCAGCACTTTGTATGATGAGGTCTAAATCGCTCCTCCCAAATCCTTTTGATCAGAGAGTTCTCCCACTATAAATGAACTCGCCCGAGTTTAGTGGAAATATAGTTGTCACTTGTCACTTGATTCACTTGTTGCTCTTTTCAGTATCGCAATTTCTTCTTTTGCTCAATTTAAGTGAACACTGAACTAATCCAGTCTTGGATCCTCCTTAAACTTAGAGGACGAAAGTGAACTTCATTCGTCAGCGGTTGATGCAGAACGAAACTATTGTATCACAACAATAGTTTGAGGTCACAATGAGTAGGCAGATGTCAGTTAACAAAAACCTTTAAGTTAATTTCAGCAAGATTTACGTTACTGAACCATCTAAACAATGACAGAGTAAATGAGAGGAATGTTCTTCCTGTAGATATCTGACAATCCTGTTTAAGCTTTGCCTTGACCTTTATGGACATAAAATTCCGCTCATGTCTGCATATAGATCACAAGTTTTCCTTTTGTTTTAACTGTGCAGACTATCAAAAAAGCGGAAAGAAAAGAAATGGCGTCAGTGTAACTGTTAAAAATGGTAGGAAGTTATAGAAAGACCCCTTAGTGCGTTGCGGTCACTGTAAAGTATCGCTAATTCTTAACACTTTTGACCTGTATTTTTAATTTGTTGTTATTTATGAGAAAAGTTTCCAAAGTAACGCGATATCACTTGAGGCCAATATTTATTAATACAGACAATTTGACTGGAACATACGAGCTCTTAGGCTAACAGTTGAAACAGGACAGTAAAACGTTTCTGAAGTGAGCTTAATGTAAGCTCTACTCTTGGAGCTTGCAGAGAAACTGTCAAATATAAATGATATACGTTTCCAATATAATTTATCGGTTGCTTCCTCCACACTTACAGAATGTTATTACTAACCATTACTTTAAATTCATCTATTAACGTCATCATGGATTAGCAAACGATTTATAATATCCTTGTGGTTATATTTTCACGGAAGGAAGATTTGACTGTCGTCTATTTGTCTCTGAAACCGGCAAGTCACTGGCATTCGCTACACGCCTGCGAAACTTAGGACCAGAATGAGTGACTAAATTTGTCATAGTTTTTTTGGCACGATTCTTGGAGTTATCAAATGACGAAGTCAGTTGTGAAGCAGGGTGTCGGATATTTTTTTGTTGTCATTCCTTATTTTACGCAAGGACTCGTTCGAGTTGACAGCACAGTGATATAACTTTTGTGGCTATTCTTAGATCTGAGTATCCGTAAAACATCCGGTAACTTTCTGGAAACCTTTTGAACCTAGAGGCAAAAAACTACATAACTGCATACAATGAAATCATTCAAAGAGTGATCCAGATGATTTCATGTCAATTTTTGCATACTCTGCGTAACAGTTCTTCACATCTGCATGGCTGTAATCAATATGCACAGAGAGTCACGTTCGTTATTGCACGGTGTATTGCCTTTTGGTAGTGATCCAATTCTAAATTCCGCATTTATTTTTCAAGTTTATATCACTACGCTTTATTACGCACATTAAGATCATACTGGTGTATCTTAAAATAGAAAAAAGCTAAAGACATGTCTAAACACGGTTCAGAATTAGGCACCGTTGCTTTCCAGGCTAAGCTTGCTTCCTCGCCTATAAGCGAAGTCCTAGCTTGGCTATCCTTACACGTTTTCTCTTGTGGAACAAGAAAATATCAAACCAGCTAATAAAAAAAAATCATGGTTCCAATCAAATTTTCCTGAAACATATCGGTTTTAAATAAGAAGTAATTGTGCTCAGCCAAGTTTTAGCATCGCATCGCGCTTGAATAATAATTCTCTGAGGAACACAATAAATTTTCGTTGAGGACCTCACGTTTCTAATAGCGCTAATAAACGTGATTGACGTGATGTGTCTGAGATTCAAACCTCAGAAGTTCCATTGACGCAAACGCATTTAGCTTTTCTTCCTTAACAATGCAGATGCGTCGAATTTGAGGGCCTCAAAGGAGAATGAACTTTATCGTTGATGTGCAGTTACCCGCCAGAAAAAGGGGTTTTCCCTGGGACACGGAACTTAAGTTTGCAGTGTCAACTTCCCGTGTAGATCACAGGAAGTTTTGCTGCTGGGGGGACTGTTACGAAGCCTTCTCATTCAAGCATATTTTTCAGTTAATGGAAAAGAAAAGATATCTTTGGTTATAGTTTTTCACTATTTTTTCCTGCCCTATTAGGCAATCTAACATACAGACCAGATGAAGACAGAGATTGAATAAGTTTCATCGAGAGACAATCAGTTTCCATTCTAGTAAATAGTACGACTCAATTAAAATTCTTTAAGTGCTAATTTAGCATTCTAGCTACCTGGTAAATAAGCACGACCTTACAAAGTGAACGCTCAAACAAAGAGTCAACGCTCGCAACGTCAGCTTTAGAAAATCTTTGCTGTGGCCAATTTTCTTTACAGTTGATAACGTCAAATTATCTTGAACGAGAAAAAGAACGAGATGTAAAGTGGTACACAGCTCTAAGTATATGCATCAGAAAATAGAAATGATGAAACATTTATGCAAATGAAATACCTGTAATTTCCGTTTTTGTGTAAACGGTAACATAATCAATAGAAAGTTACGATAAACGAAATATGATTAGTTTTTCTTTTCGTGACCAATTTTCACTTTTGATAAGCCTCTAATAAGTTATGCGTAAAATTGTCTTGTTCGTTATCAGTGATTTCGGTTTTTTTTTTTTGTTTTTTTGTTTTTTTTTTGGGGGGGGGGGGCCTTTAATCATGGTAAATATTATTCACAAGCAGGAGCCCATTTAACTGCCTCCTGTCAGAAGAAATGTTAAAAACTTTAAATCAGGGGTTAAATAATTTCTACTATTCCAGAGAATTTCTGATTTATCTCGCGAAGTTTAGCCCGCACTATTTAAAGTACTTGTTTTTTCTCGGTCTTAGCTCTAGTCCGAGGGTCCATTTCACGAGTCCATCCTACACATGACTTCTTTCTTTCCCCGAGCGTCCTCGGGGAAGTCTGGTGTTGACCAACTGCATCCCACAATGCTAAGCTGCCTCCATCAAGGCGATCTCTCCAAAGTCGTCCTTGAAGGTCTGTTACTGTGTATTAAGAACCTTAAGATATCCAATCCATCTGACCCAAAGTCCTGTAAATTCTTGTCATTAAAACATGAAATATTTTATTTTAATCCTTCGTTTTTTTATTTTGTAAGATGGCTAAGAAAACCGACAAGAAAAAGGGGCGCTCTGCCATCAATGAAGTTGTGACTCGTGAATACACGATAAACGTACACAAGAGAATCCATGGCATGTAAGTTCGGTGTTTTTGGTTTTTTTTTTAAAGGGAATGACTTTTACCTGGAAGGTGACAGCAATGTATTGGTTTAGCTCTTTAGATTAGAATCCGACGATTGGTGGGGAAACAATCTGAAGAAAGGATAAGTCTTGAATTAGCAGCGAATTGGTTCTTGCAATAACGACATTCTGAGCTATAGCTCGCCGAGGGGTAGACAAAACTTTTTGGAAAAGGAAAATGTTTTATTGAGACTTGTTAGTACCGTTTGCTTATTTTTCCTATTGCTGCAGCCTCTATCAGGGTCAGACTTGAGGCTGGGGGAATTAAGGGTAATGTAATAGCGCACGAGCTCGTCTTTCTGTTTCAATGTGGAAAACTTTGTTCTCTACTTGGATTAAATGACAGTAGATTTTGAGCATAAAATCTAGTTGTGACTTTGTCTATTCTGTGTAATATTTCTTCAAAAATGATACATATATTTTTTTTTGGACGACTCACTCAGAATTCAAAGCCTGCTTTATTGTTTCTGTGATACCCTAGCTATTTAGTTTAAAAACCTTCGAAATTTGAGATGAGTTATAGGAATCAAGCATTCAAACAAAGGAACACAGGATGATCGGTTCAGCTTTTTTACCATTTACCACATTACCTCCAGAACTTTAATTGTATCTTTTTTACTGTCTAGTATTTAACAAGTGTAAATAGTGGCTGAATGGTCTCTGACATCTAACAAACCTAAAATTCTTTTATGTTACAATTTCATGATGATATATTAATTGTAAGTTCTCTTTTCTTCCACAACAGTGGCTTCAAGAGACGAGCACCAAGGGCCATCAAGGAAATCAAAAAGTTTGCTGAGAAAATGATGGGAACACCTGATATTCGTGTTGACACCAACCTTAACAAACATGTGTGGTCCAAGGGAATCAGGTATGCCATTATCATCCACTAGAGTGGAGTTTCTGTTAACCTATTCAGTTCCAAGAGTGATCAAGAAGTAATTCTCCTTGCAATATTAAACAGATAGGTGATGAGCATAGAGAAAACTATAAACTGAGAGAAATTATTTCAAATTAAGCCACACTCTTAAAACTCTCATTTAATAAAAGAGTTAAGCAGACTTTTAGAAGAATTACTTTTGACATCAAGGTGAGTGCAAAAGTAAAGATTTGAAGATGAACTGTTTTGGGTACATTTATGGTGTTTTTTTGCAGTCAATTTTATCATCAATGAATGAAGGGGTAAGTTTCTAAAGAAACTGTGGTGCTGCGTCGGTGAGAGAATATAGCAGGTAATTTAGTGTTAACAGCTGGGTTGAAAACGTAAATTAGCCATCGTAAAGGGTAAAAAAGCTGATGTTTCGAGTGTTAGCCCTTTGTCTATTGCTCTGACGAAGGGCTAACACTCGAAACATCAGCTTTTTTACCCTTTACGATGGCTAATTTACGTTTTCAACTTAGTTTTTAACACTAAATTACCCAATTTTATCATCATCTAGTCACATTCTGAACTAATGACAATTGTAACCATTTAAATTTTGTAGAGTAATTAATGAAGTTAGCTACCTGCTACTCCCTTTTATCTTGTGGCTCAGTTTTAACATGGTTTGAATTTTACTTTCATTTGGTTTGAGTTATTTTCATGCTGAACAATATCTACCAGTAGGGAAAATTAAGATTTGAACTATGGATACAAGTGAACTGTAGTATGATGCACTGCCTGTAGACCTGAGGGTAAAAACACTGTTATTGGTTGTCACCCATGAATTTTCAGAACACAGTCATAAAATTGTTTACTAGCATGGTACACATTTTTATATCTTTACTCATAAGGAAAAAAAAACTAACATCCCAGAAGTGATGCAGTGAAAAGTTTTGTAGTCTTTCAGTTAATGGCAAAACAAACATTTAAAGGGGTCTCTTACTTTCATATTGTAATCTAACAACAGAATTTTGTCTCAAATAGAAATGTGCCATTCAGGGTCAGGATTCGTTTAGCACGTAAAAGGAACGAAGATGAAGACTCTGTTCACAAGCTGTACACTCTTGTCACTCATGTCCCTGTGGCTTCATTCAAGGGTCAGTGTTGTGTTGTTGAAACAGAAGAACTCCCTTAAAATTTATAGCTATGTTTATCATACTCTGTATGAGAGGAATCTAGGAAAATCTTAAAAAGTATGCAGAATGGTTTCTCTTGTAATCATTTTTACAGCTCTGAAGCTGTTGTGGAAAATATATATCTGAAGGGTCTAAAAAAGTGTCCCTGCTACTTTGAGAAATTATATTTAAACATGTCTAGGTGGCCATTACTTTTGAGTTGCTAAACTTGTGTGAGTAATTATCAGGAAAAATTGTTGGTCCAAAAGTTTTTATTACCCTTCCATAGCTGTCATTAGTTACTATTTCTCATCAACCTGACTCTGAAGCTATTCTGAATCAATTTGATTCTGAAACAATATTTAAATAAGAAAGGGGACTGTGTTCTTTAGTAATAATTAAATGTCTGGTATTTAGACATTTTTGACTGTGAGTTGACAATTTTTTTCTTTTTATGTTTCATAGGTCTGCAAACACAGAAGGTGGAAAGTGAGGATTAAGCCTATGTACAGAAATAAACTTGTCAATTTAATAAAGATCTCACAACTTTAATCATTTCTTACTGATTTTGTCCACTCCACACTTCAGCAGAAAGACCATTGACATTTCTGAATTGCTATTGGTATTGAAAACATGTTTGCCTCTTCTTGCTAGTGTGATGGTATCATCCTCCTGAAATCATCATGCAAATTATCACTTAATTTTAAAAAAATCAAGGTTGATTTTAGCTGGGATTTTATTTTGAATTGTTCACTGTAAACCAATCAAATTTAAGTAGAGTTGTAGTCATTCCTTTTGAGAGAACTGGATTAAGGGAGAAAGTGACATCCTCTTTAAGAGAACTACAACCAACTCTAAGAAGCACTAATTTAATCCATTATACACAATCAGTTCAATTCACAAAACTCACCAAGTACTGAAGAACATGATGTCCGTTTCCTTCTGAACATGAAGTAATGACAGTGGATAGTAAAAGTGAGGAATGAAAAAAGATCACAAGTGAACAATGATACTTTTTCATCAAAGCTACCTTCTTATCATTCCCAGAGGATTTTGAATTACACCTTGGGAAAGAGAGCTGCTTGTGACCAGATGGCCATCTGTTCTTGCCAGCAGCTTGCCAACAGCTAAAACAAGCCAACACAAAACTGCATTTGACCCACCATTAAGAAAGCAGCAATTTCATATGAATATCCCTTTAACCAGCTGGCACACACTCAAGTTCAGTACAACTTTAATTCATCAACAGCAACTCTACATGTATTTCATTACTTCTTTTCTATCATTCAGAGCACTGATTAACACAACTTCTAGTTTACCCTCACTTTTGAGTTAGAGGGGAGAAGATAATGATTACATACTGAGATACTTCAGGCAATACAATTTTTTTTTCTTCCCTACCAGTGGGAAATGAAATATTTCATTCTATACTTAATGGAATTTAGCACAGCTCTTATTTTGTAGGGAAACCATGTGCTAAAAGATTTCAAAAAATGAAACAAAAAGACATGCTTTAGCTTTTAATTGTTCAGTGTATAAATAAACATGCAGTTACTTTCATTTTTCCTGCCAACACAGAATTTTTTCGTTACTAAATTGTACTTGTGATGACTTTGCTGAATTTGTGCTAACATTAGTAATCACTACCTAGGAGAGGTCATCTCAGGGCTATACTAGTCTCACACAAGTCATACAAAAAATTTAATTTAGTTGGGTTTAAAAAAAATCTACCTATAAGCAAAAGATTGCAAACAAAGCCACCAGGAAACTGAGAGTGTTTCCTCTGTAAACAATAATGACTAAAGCCTCTTAACTTTTGTTTCTGACTCAAAAAAAAAAAAAAAAAATTAAAGAACAATTTTCATCTGTTCTGACTGACCATGCAGTAATTATCTCTCTTTTAAATAATATTGCCATTGATAAAAATTCACATGATTTCGTACACATATGTAAAATAGTATTATGATAACGTTTGTTTCATTAATGAATGTCAAGGCTACAATTTTCAGAGTTAAGGAATAAAGCTTGGTGTAAAAAAAACCAAACTTACTCTCACTCTGCCCTTATTCACAAGACAAAAATAATCATAGATATCCCTGAGGGATAAAATAGTATTTTTTTCAGTTCAAAACAAAACAAAAAAAATCACAGTATTCATTAAGACTATGTGGTACTCATTGATATTCCTGAGTAAAGGGAGGTACTGGGCATGACACAATGCTTTCACATTGTCTCCCTCCATCTACTAGTAAGAGAGCCAAGGAGCTGTCAAGGGAAGCTAACAAAATGCTGAAGGGTGGGTGGGGGAGGGGGGGTGTGTAATGGTAGTGGCCCACAATCAACTAACATCTCATCCAATAGGAATAACAATACTCAGTAGATTGATGCAACAGAAACAGAGATTGGCTCTGGCAGAGAGAGCCACTCTGCCTCTGCTCTGAATTTCACCAAACAGTAGGACAAAAGTTTATACAGACATTTTCTGATAATGGACAGTGCATGTGTTTTGAAGTCATATTTGAATGAAACATTCAGTTGCAGGATAGGCTAAGATATGCATTCCCTTAGCTTCCCTTACAAATCTGCCCTAAACTGGATTAAAAGTGAAATTAATGTACAAATGTTACAATAATAACAACAATTAATAATGGTAATAGGACTGAGTGGAGTCCAATTTGGTCTGTACTCATACGAGTGATTAACAAAATCGGACGACCGAAAAGCAGGAGTCCGATTTGTTTATCATGAGTATGATTACAGACAGAATTCAACGACAAGAAGTCCTGTTACCAATTAATCATATAACCATTTCAATTTCTGAAAAAACAAATACACCTAGAACAAATATCCTCCATTTTGGAAATTGTCTTTTTCCCCTTTGGATAAGTGGTTGTTGCTATGGTTATTACGATCAATTCTGTGATTGGTGGATTTAGCTGAGTGGACCTCGTATGATTGGCTGCTCCAACTGTCCGATTACAGGTGTCTAATTACAACCCAACCATCAGATTATACTGTTGGATTATACTGTCGGATTACAACTGCACAGAATGATTACTGAAAAATGAAGCAGCTGATGCACCAATCACATTTGAGGAAATTGTAATGGTTATGATCATGCCAATAATATCAATATCATTATCATTGCTTCAAAAAGCATTGCACTTGAACTTGATCTAACATCAATAACTACAATATCTCTCATATCTATACACTCAGACATGCACTTCCAGTCTTAACCCTTCAACCCCCAAAGAGTTATTGCAAAAGAATCTGTCTGCAAAACATTCCTTCACTTTCAAGCAGAAATGTAATTAGAAGAAAGAAAAATATCCACAGTGGGATACTGCTAAGTTCTCCAAGCATACTTTAAAAGAAATGTATGCAGACAGTATGGAGAATCTATATTTAGTTCTTGGGAGTAAAAGGGTTCAAGGACAGTGTCACAGCTTTACAGCTGATCATGTTCACAGTATATTGCACACACTGGTACATGAAGTCTCTATTGTTCATTCTTGTATATGGTAGGTATATCTGTTTATTTAGTCAAATTATTCTTGAATTACTCTTCAATAAAAAATGCTGTTAATGCAAATATCAAAAAGACAACTCCACCAATGATTGTAACTGGAAGATAAAAAAATCAACATTGCATGTCAATATTTTTTAACACTAACTGTATCATAACTATCTGCTTTTCAGGTCTTTGCACTACAAGACAGTTTGCTTTTTTCAACAAAGAGATAAAAAGGAACGATATTATTTTACCACAGCAGTGGTGTCTAAGCAAAAAAAATATGGTTCTAGCCATGAAAAAAATTGAAACTAGAAATGACTTAGTAAACAATGAGAGAAAGATGTCCCAGTTCTTCCAAAATATCGTCACCTGTTCCATAGGTCTTGCACTCTTAATTTGTTCACCACAAATTTAAGCAACAATGTTGATTTTACTTTGAATTCCTTTAGTATCTGAGCTCACACAAAAGCTGCAGTCTCACTGTCTAGTGCCCCTTACCACCCTCCAGCCCTACAGCAGAGCTGTCAATCTGTGTCACTTGATAGAGGTATTTCCTCCTTCACTACATATTTTCTTAAGTATGAGAATAAGATATGTTTAAAATAGGCACCTGTTCTGACAGATATTCTTTGAGCAATTAGTCTTCCCCCAATCACAGCCAGGCCAGTGCACAGGGCATGTCCTAATGTTCCACCTATTGTCACACCAACTACATTCTGAGAATGAGATATTGTGCAGAAATTCAGTTTAAGTCATCTAAGAAAAGATCACATAAGTAAAGATACATCCTTTTCTCCCATTCATAAGTCCTCTCAATGAAAGGAATTAACTTTTGACCTCTAAGAGCTATTAGAATTTAATTTCTCCTTACATTTTCACCCTTGAATTACACATAAAGGTGACCACAATATAGGTAATGATCACAAACTCAAGAAGCTCTTGATTGTCAAACTAATTTCTCTTATCAGCATGAAATGTATAAAGAACATTGATGTTAGGGTGTAAAGGGTGAATCCATTTATACCTCTCTAGATGCCAGGAGTATAGTAGCCAGTTGTGACCTGTCACCCCACTCAGCAAGGAATGTTAGAGTAAATGCTTGTAGTAATATGGGTGAGCAAAGACCAAAGAACTTTGCAGGCTTCTTTCCTCCTCTTATTATACCAGTTTCTACATCTTGAGTGATGGTGGATGAGTCATCCTTCTCCATCTAAACAAAAATAGACCATAATTTTACTAAAGAACAAGGATAAAATCACTTTTTGTATGCATCATTACATAATGAAATCAGAAACCAAAAAGATGGCCAAAATGAAAAATGAAATTGCTAAAAACTGAAAAAAAGGCAATCACAATGATCTAAATTAAGGTGAAATGTTGAAGTATAAGGACTAGATTCGTAAGCCAGTGAAGAAGACCCAAAAACCCTGTGTCTTAATTCATAATAATTTAAAACCAACTATTGAAAAAGGAAAACTTGGACACCAAAACAAAACAAGAAAAAATTGTAGACATAAAAATTCCAAAACCCATCTCAAATAAGATCTAAACTGGAAAAAATAAAAACACAAATTCCTCCATATTTGCTCCAAAAAAGGGCTACCACTTGAAATGTCTGCTTTGAAACTCTTTGCATTGGCCGATTTATGGTATCAACTCAGTTGATAATGCCATATTACCCTGTGCTACAAGATGATTTGGTTTTATCATCTAAGTTGTGAATTGTAAAGAGTTTCTCAAGCTGACTTCCTGAGCATAAACCCTTTGTCATAGTGGAGGTTGGTCAAGCAACACACTTCCTCCATGTGTATGCATGTTATGTGCTGAGCCCTCACAACTATGGTACAAGGAGATGATAGAAAATGGAGTGTTAAGTAATTTTTTTTTCTGACCAGACCTCAGCTTCCTTCTTTTTAAGTTCTGCTTGTACTTCTTCTAACTCTTCCTGTCCTTCGTTAGGGTCCATATCATAACCTTCTTTTAACATTTTAAGACCGAAAAATACAAACAGTGCTGTTGATATGTACAGTGTGTATTTCCTTGGAATGACAGTTGTTGCATATCCCAGTACCGCTGAGAGAACTGTCATCAAACCAAGGGCAAGCATAGCTCCCGTGAATATAACAAGCCTTGGATGTCTCATTGACATAATGGCAGCAATGAAAAATGTCTTGTCGCCAAGTTCTGAAACAATGATCACAGATAGAGCAGCCACAAAGGCATGAATGAATTCAATACTAGAAACACCCCAGGAACCACCAGAGGCAGATGATTGCTTTGCCAAGGAGCCTTGGAAAATACCATTCTGGAGAAGAAAAATAGCTCACTGTTACTAGATGATAATGAATTAATCAGCAATACTAACTGAGTCTGAGGTGGATAATTTTGTTTCAGCATAATCATTCAGGTAATCAGGAGAGCAAATGTATCTTCTTTTACTTTCTTTCTATGAAATACCAATTAGTTGTGCAGTGATACTATTATTTGATACAGTGTAATCAAGGTCACATTTCTTCGATATTATTTTATGGCACATGCTGTAATGGATTCAAAATTTTAAAGGACATAATTTTTTGCTTACACCCATTTCAAATCAACGCAAACGAAGAAAAACTGGATGACAGAGAAATAATAAAAGGTTGTTGTTATATCTCTTTGGTAATTTATCTCTCCTCTTCAGTCTGCTCTATCATTGGCCATAACCCTCCACATGTTCTGTTGAATCAATCTGCGCACCACTCAGGGTTGATAGGGTTTTTATCATGCATTCAAACTTTCTTCTTATGGACATCAACAGGTGGAAAATGGGAAACTGCTTTAGTGATGCTATTGAGAAGGTATCAAAGACGTGGGCTTTCTTTCCATGTTTACAAAATTAGTCAATCATGTGACACAAGGAAAACTTTACATCACCCTCCCTAAGTGTTATTGAATTAAATTATAGTTAATTAGAAATTTGTGGCATTTTTGATAAACTATTACATTCAAAACTATGACGAATTGCAATCACGAGTTCAGTTGACCACAAGCTAGATCAATCGCACAGTAGATACTATGTCAACACGCATCACTAGTGTTTCTAAAATAGCCAAGAGGCCATTTTCTTCAGCAAAAAGCCACTTGCGTTCACACTTAAAATACTTTCTTACCACTTCGTCCTCAACAGGCTGCACAAAGGATACAGAATCGGTACCTTTCGGCTTCTCTTTAGGATCATTTGCCTGGACCTCTGATGAAGCCATCAAGACGCGACCGGCAAGACCTTCAAGTTCGTCGGGAACTGCAGCACACGCTACGGTTGCACGACACATTAAAACAATTCCGATGATTAGGAACAAACTTAGACGCCCTTTACAATAAGTCCCCATGTTGAATTAGTCACCAGAATAACACTTTAAACCATTTGCTTTCGTTAACCCGTGTTTATAAAATATGAATTTTTGAGAACTTTCTTCTGTGTTCAGTGCGCTTATTAGAATCAGCGGTTATGCTATGTAACTTATGCGCAAATGTAAGGATTGAGAAAGGGAGGGTGGGGTGGTTGAGTTACCGTGCTCATGCCAAATTTTTTTCAACCATATATGATCATAACTGCGCTTGCGCGAGCTTTATTGATAGAAAACGACAGGAAACCGACTTACAGACTTAAAATGCTTTATTTTGGTTACATTTATCGAGCTGTTCGATTTGCTACTTCATTACGGAAAATAAACTCGCTACAAGCTATGCTATATACTCTTCATCATCGCAGCAATAGTTTTCTATGAATATTTGTCTTTACAGGCCGAGCGAATAATGTGCCCTAGAAACAGACTCCGTCATCTTGTAGCAGCCGCTCATTCCCACACTTCCTCCCGTTACAATGATAACATCTTCACGGAAGTGCGTCATTCCGGCGATATTGCTAAGTAGCGCTAAGGATCCTGATCAGGAAACAGGTGATCCAATTTATAACGGTTGATATTCGCAATTCTTTGCCAGCGTCCTCTTTTCCTTTTCTTTCTCTTTATTTCAACCAAAAATAACAGAAACTAAAGCGTACTGTACAACTATAACCAAGCTGGTAAACTAGCCTTTCTTGTCAGATTTCTACTCATGGGCGAATAGAATAAAGTGACTCTCGACAAAAATTTGCGCACGTCCTCGGCTTCTGCCACATCAACAGGCATTTGTTTATTGCCGTCCAACGCGCGCACATCAGCCTCGCAACGTAACAAATACTTGACGATTTCAAGGTACCCTTCGCTGGCTGCGTAGTGTAAAGGAGTCCATCCTTGTCCATCTTTCTTGTTCACATTCGCTCCAAGTTCTATCAAAGCTTTTACACTCCTGAAATTACCATCAAGAACACACTGTGTAAGCGCAGTCATCCCAGATGCAGTAATGGCGTCCAATTCGACTACTTTTCCAGCTCGACGTAGGAAATCAATAACCTTCTTTCCTTCTGTAAACTCTGAATCTAATGATTCCTTACTGCAAGCGATTTGGAACATTAAATCGAAAGGTTGTGGACACGATCTCACCCTGTGAACTGCTACTTTACCTTTCGGTTTTTGAGCTGTTGAGGTTGTGTCCATGCCTGTTCTGATGTTTTTTTGTATTGACAGGAGGCGTACTCGCTTGACTTACTTTAAACTGCGCTTTCGGTGCCGTTAATCTTCAAGTTAAATGGGTAAACTCGTTTGGGCAATGAAATTAAAGATAAATAGACGTAGTGACCTCTTTATCACTAAGAGTCAAATCCGCATCACGCAATTGAAATCATCCATAATTAATTTAAAACATTCCGCATTTGTTACCACTTATCCTGTATCGGCACAAGTGCGCTGTCAGTGGTTACTGTTGCATTACAAAAATCCTTGACGCTTCATATGTTAAACAGCTGAACAGTTTCACTCTGCGACATTTGGGTTCAGTAAGAAAACAACTAAAGTTAATGTAGTGTTTATGTTTGTTTATCATAATTGAACGCTATGCCGCTAAAGTAGTCTAAAATGTAAACTTGGCTCTGAGAGTAATTTTTTAAGTTGATCATAAGCTGATCTGAAAACATAAGATAAGGATGGACGATCATTTTCCAAAAAACAAAACTTCCCTTTCAGCTCACGGGTAAGAGGAACTGTCTGCTCGCAAAACATTTTTTTTTTCTATTGATTTCTGATCTTTTTTTAACTTTCATTGCTATATCAGCAAGCTGGTGTAAATATTCAAATCTATGCGAGACAAAACAGTAAAATCGAATACAAGATGAGAACAGAATATGGCCGAGAAAGTACTTTTAAACTAGCGCTGGAAATCTCAGTCACGTTTTTATTACTTAAGTTTGTACTTATACACGTCGAAAAAAAACTGCCTTCAAGCATGTACCAGACTAAACAGCTTATCAGACTCCAAAGCTAATCCTATTTTACTTTCACTGATATATCAGGCTTCTTTTATGTCAATTGTTACAGTATCTGCGCACATATAGAAATAAGTCTTGTCTAAACACAGACGATGTTTTGATAAACATTCATTAGTGCATTGTCATAAAATATTTATGTTGCAAAAAAAAGAGCAAACCGCCGGCAACTGAATTCAGAAATTTAGTGAGTGCCTTCAAGCGTCTGAACTGTTCAGAGTAAATTCTTTTAACTGTTAATATTTTTGTGCGGGATAGATTGAATACCAGTATTAGCGGACTAAAAGAGAGCGGTGATCAATTTTGCACTCACTGTGCACCTATTAATTGGGGGCACGAAATTTTTCGGCTGTTGCAATAGCGCAGCCGACTGACCGAATCAATCGAGCAATGCATTCACGTCCCTCGTGGCTTCCCAGTAGCAACGGAAGTTTAAAAAAATTCCGCTAAATATAGTCTAACCCCCAGGCAAACCGATCTCAAATCAAAGATTGTCGTTCTAAATGGCTCGTGGATTCCGTGCAAGGCAGCGTCACATTCAAATAGGAAGTATAAAATGATACATGGTCAAATACAAGAAGCATAGCTTTATCGAAAACTTCCAAGTATTGATAAATAATTTTTTACCACTTTCGTTGGCCAGTATCAGAAGTAACGCGTATTGAATTAGATACGGTTGCTTTGATAAGTCTTTGTTAACTCGTAGTTAAAAATATTATAAATGGAAGTATCAAATATTGAAATAATGGGCTACTTATTTAGTACAGTATAAGTTTGACTAGGAAAACAGTTTCACTTTCTTACCACGATAAACTTATTTTAAAGTTCCTGTCATTATCGGAAAGGTTATCGTCATTAGGAATCGTTCAAACCTTCTTTGTTATTCGACCGGTCTTCCCTTTTGGTTAGGATAGGATATCTAATCGCTATTTATAACTAGTACACTGGATCACGTGGTGTGGGATTGAAAGCATACCCGTGAAAATTTAGCGATTTTTTCTCGAAACTGCAGTTTTAAAAAATTACAGGCTAGCATAGAATTCTATAACTTCGTCCGAACTGCCACTGGAGGATCAGACGAATATGATGTTTAGGCATACGGCCAGATAAGCGAATTCACTATAAATGCACGACAGAGGAGACAACAATATTTGGAAACATCTAAGCTAAGAAATGTAGGGCAACAAAGAATTTGCAAATTTTGTAGACCAGCGAAAGAAAAAATTAAAGGGAGAAGGAATAGTTTACTGTATTTAACTCCTGTTGTTTTATCGTATAATGGTTACACTGTTTTGATGGAGACTATTCAATACCTTTGTAAAATCTAGCCTCGTTTTCAGCTAATTCATCCTCGTTTCCAGAAGGACCAGGCTAGGATGGACCCTGGGAACGAGATTTGCTGTCCCTCCAAATATGGTGACGTCATTTAGATATGCTTGAGTGACTCCTGGCAAAATGATGTCTGCCTATGGCGGGAATAGTATAGCAAGATGAAAATATAGCTGTTTTTTCCAGGGAAAATGCCTTGGAATTATGTTCAATGTGATTTCAAAACCAAGATTGATGTTTAGGCGACACACGTGCAAGATTTGGTATGGATTCGACAGCGAAAAAAGACAGAAAGAGCGCCGACATTGTCGACGGTAAGACCTCGCCTCCATTTGTCGTTTCGACCATTTGTTTTGTAATTTATGCAAGGATGTGGGATCTTTTAGGCTGCCATAAAAGGCGGGATATTGAACGACTTGTTCTTCTCTCTTAGCTGGCTTATAACTGCAGAGATCTAACCTTACATTCGGCAGATTTTTGCCACATTTAGAATTAATCTTATACTAGTACTAGCACACAATTACTCCCCTCTGTTAGCAAGCTTTGGCGCCCTTGAATTCGTGACTAAACCGCTTCCTTGGGAAAATATATTCACCTACCGATATGTCTGTTTCGTTTTTCGTCATTACAAATTAAGTCAAAGGACACCATTTTGAAGAATTCTAAACGTGATGGTTATGAAAATACGCAGTACAAAACGTCGATCGGTGCAATTATACGGTGGGTTGAGCACACCGCACGGTTTTGCATGTTTTGGTATTGTTTGTTATCGGGTTTCAAACCATGTGATTTAACTCGGAAGCGAATGTATTATTTATGAGATTTAGTTTTTGCCCAAAACATTTCCTTTTAGCACAGTAGTGCTTCTAAGAAAACCTGGTGGGTTTATTTTGTGGGAAGATAAACTCAATTTTCTTCTTTTGGTAATGTACATTTGTGACAAAGCTTCACATCTTATTCCGTGTATCGAATTATGTACTTGCGTAATTTTCCGGAGCCAGTATAATATACGAATTATAACTGATAATGCGGCAATATTTTCAATTGGATGAGTATGTATAGGTTGCATTTAGCCGGTATAACACTCCGTAATGAATTTTTCTATTTTAATACGACTGCAGCCATACTAATCCTGGGGCCTGTTGGTTGAATTAGCATAAAATATTCCAATTTTAACTTCAGTTTCGCTTATTGCGTTGCAGACTGAAATTTTTTTTCCCAGCGGTGTTAAAAGGTTTTTGAAGTAAATACTTCTGGAAATTGTGATATTTTCAAATTGATAAGTGTTTGGGGATCATGAAGTTTACCTTTACCAGCTGTGTGATTTGTTCAGCAGTGATGATATTGTGCCAAAACATATGCCTGTCTCTGTAAGGTGACCTCATGTAGTTTGGAGGGGGTTCGATACTGTGATCCTGAAACTGCTCTTATCAAGTGATTTCTTCCAACTCGTGTGATAGTATCACAAAGAAATGTCACAGCCAATTAGTTTGAGGGGCTGGATTTGAAATATTGATGTATCTCAGGTCCAAATCCTCTATCTGTTCTTTTTCTTGTTTGTGAAAACAAATTCTTCACAGCATAATTTTTAAAAATATGCATGTTATTTTCTCTATTTGTTGTGAATATTTAGCGCAGAATTGTTATACGCATCAAGACCAAAACAGAAGCATTTTTGCTTTGTTATGTTTCCTCCATTTTCTAACAGGCACCAGGCACAATAAACTTATTTATAGTATTGTTAAGTAATTTGAGCAATGTTTCAAAGTTTGTGTCTTTTTTGCTCCTAGACACTGATGTGGATATTGAAAAGAACAAAGCAAGCAAGAAAGCCAAGCAAGGAGAAATAAAGGGGTAATTTTTCACAGACAAAAAAACTCTAAACCTCTTTTGGTTTGTTGCATTGTGTTTGAGCAGCCAGTCATCAAGAGAGAAGACCTTAGATGAAAATTTAGTTCAATTATTAGTGCAGTCATCAAACAAAATCAATTTATCATAACTCTTTCCTTTTTATACAGTTTGCTGAGTTCAGTGATTGCTGATGAGATTAAAGGTGAGTTGTACTTGTATGACTAAAACTCACTTCAAAGAGGTAATGTTCCTCAACATGTACCTTAGAGAGCTTGGCCTAAAGTTTTTAAGTTGGTTGAGTACATGAAGAATAAAACCTCTGTTATGTAGTCACCCTCTAGAGAGAACCAGAGATTTGAAATGAATGACTGTTTATTTCTGTCTGTTTGTTATTCTACCCCCATGAAACAATTTTTATTTAAACAGCTGTGTTAGTATGATTTCTTAGACATACTTTTAAATGTACCTATAGGATCCTCTCGTCCTCCTTCTCCTGCCAGCTTTTCACTGGAGGGTCGCAAACCTGCAGAGGTAAGAGGTTAAATGTGTAGTTTTACTGAACTCTGCAAGTACTTGTCATTTCCCTGCTGATTATGGTAATAGGATCTTGGGAGTGATCAACGAAATCAGAAGATTGCAAAGTGAGATTCTACTTTGTCGTTATGATTTGTCGAATTTTAAGGGAAACTTACTTGGGTGTGACCACACCAAACTGTACTAAATGGTTTAAAAGTGGAGCATGTTCCTTTGAAGACTTATCTTTTTGTAATTTTGCAATGTACTGTTACAGATTTTTCGCACTGATCTGATAAGTGCAATGAAACTGCCAGATCATCAGAATTTAAGTCCAGAGAACTATGTAACCATATCAGATCAATGGAGACAAGAATGGGAGAGAGGTGTACAGGTAATCAAATTATTCAAAATATTTGCTATCTACATGTTGTCGATGTGTTATTTGTATAACCTGGTAGAATGAACTTTTGTATTCTTTTACTTGTGTGTAAAATATTGTCTCCCATTTCTTTAACTTATTTATTTCTTTGTTTTTGAAAATTGCCAAATGCTTTTATATTTCTAATCAGGTTCCTGTTTATCCAGAAGGGGTTTTTCAGCCATCATTTAGGTGTGTTTATAATTATTTGTAGGGTTTAGTTTGATTGTTGAGATTAATTTGATATCATCCAAGAGATTAAGGAAGTTTGTGTTTCTCTTTTAGGGTAGTTTCTGATTAACCTGTTTTTCTTTAATCCTACAGAATGGTGGAAACTCCTTACAAGAGATCAGGGAACTTCAAGCTGTATGTGATTTTAAATATTTTTAGCTAATTTATTGCTAGAATAAGCAGAGAGAGATAATCACAGTTTAAAGAACCATTTAATTGTTTAAACATGCTGGATAATCTTTCTGTCTCTAAATATTGATGAAAGAAGGATTTATTCAGGTACTGAAGTAATTGATTTTTGTACATATTACATTCAACCTTTCACATCCTAACATCAGTATGTACATTCTCCAAACTGTTTTCTGTGAATTTCTTATATTAAAGACAAGGTGAATATGTGCAACAGTTGGGAGCTTCTTTGGTTGGCAATATTTCCTTTTTCCTTGTGATTTAAATGTTTACTTAAGTGATGTTGCTGTTAGAAGGAACTAGATTCCTGTCACTCTTAAGGATTATATGAAAATATTTACTATAATTGAAATTTAACACAGGTTTGTTTCTTCCATTTCTAAAGGCCAGGAAAACTACTTTCAACTCCAAGCAAAACACGAGGTAGACCACCAGGGTCAAGGTGTCCGTATGACTTGGGAAGAATGGATGTAGAATGGTTAATAACTTTAAATAGATCTCGGCGGAACAAAGGTTTGATGGAATTAGAGGAGTCGACTATGGAAAAGGCTTTGGCATACATCGAGAACAAGGTAACATCTGGGACTTAAGTCACATAATAAATTGAGAAAATATTAACCAACTGAAATGAAGGGTGAAATGTAGTTTAAACCTTTTTTAACACTTGAAAGTGTCAAACTTGTAACTTCTCCTTACAATATCCATACTTTATCCAGCAAACAGGTAATGAGAATGCGTAATCTTATCCTCTAGAAGTTGTTATCTTCGACCAACACAAAATTCTCAAAACTAAGGGGAAAATTGACAATCAGATCATGAGAGTTAAAGGGTTAAGGTTGTAATTGTTGCTGAAAATTGTGCTGAACTCTATGATATACAGTTAAGTTACATTTATCATGCTAGTCAGATAAAATCTAACACTGAATCTTAATTGTAGTGTTATGACAACATGGGGCATGCTATAGCCACTCAAGAAGGACTTAGTATTGAATACGATGAGGATGTCTGCTGTGATATCTGCCAGTCTGTAAGTATCATTCAAGTTTGTACAATATACAATAGATAAAGATGAAGATGACAGCCAAACTGAAAAGATATTTGTTCAACATGCTTTTTATTTAAATGCTTCATGCATATTAAGTGAGTAAGTGATTATCCTACTCTGACATCTTGAAGGTGAAGTAAAGAGGCCCTTTGCAAAATGCCAAGTTTTTCTTTTAAGTCTTTGGTGTTGTTAGAATCGTTCATTTAAATTCCAGAGGTGATTAAGGATTGACATCTTCATTTCTTAAACAAGTCAACAATTAGGTAATCTTTATAGCTTTAGGGTTTATAGCGGTTAAAAAAAGTAAATTTGAATGAAAGTATATTGCAACAAGAAGGAATAATTTCTATTTTAGTTGTTCAAGGGTTGAGAGTCAAGAATGTTACTAATCAGTGGTATGCTTTTGAAATTACAGCCTGATAGTGAGGAATTAAATGAGATGGTGTTCTGTGATTCTTGTGACATCTGTGTCCATCAGGCGTGTTATGGAATCCAGAACATTCCAGCTGGTAGCTGGCTTTGTTATCCATGCCTTAAGGGTTTCAAGAATTGCCAGTGTATATTCTGCTCTCTCTCTGGTGGTGCAATGAAAAGAACTAAGTAAGCTTATACAGTTCTCAAGTTTATATCTATGTCTCAGAAGCATGATACTATTGACACAAATGTACATTTTTTTTCTTTCTGCTTGTAGTGGAAAGACAGGCAATGATGTTTCATTATTTAAACATTTTCTTCTCATTTCAATATTTAAAAGAATCCTTTAGCAGATACATTAGGTAAATAGGCATTTACCCATTAGTCAGAGGGTTTAATCTTGATATAACACCAAATTCTCCCAACTATTTTACAAGTTAATTTATAGCAGGTAGAACATAGAATTACAGATCAGATTTATGGTGTTAAGAGTTTACCTCATTATCTTAACTATCATTTTGCATCAGAAAAAGACCTCTCTCTCTTTGAATAAGAAAAGAAATGAAAGCAATGCAGCAGAGGATAGTAAATTTATTATAGACTAGAGGAAAGTTGAGAATCTTGAGTCTGATAACTACAGGCAGTTTAATTTATTTTACATTTATTTTGATCACTTGAAAGGAAAAACATGCTATGACTTTGACTTCGTTTACCTTTCTTTCCAGGAATAACAAAGGTTGGGCACATGTTAGTTGTGCCTTATGGATTCCTGAAGTTGGGTTTGGAAATGTTTCCAAAATGGAACCAATCAACAGAATAGAGAACATTCCGGTGAGTTCAGTTCCAATCTATGATTTGTAGTATTTTGTTTCTTCTGTGCATTATTTAAAATAACGTTGTTCCATGTATCTAATAATTTCTAGGCCAGCAGATGGAATCTAGTGTGTTCATTGTGCCGTGACAAGGTTGGAGCTTGTATCCAGTGCACAGTAAGTCTGGTTCTCATTATAGCAAACAGGGTAACTTTGTACATGTATGTTTTCAAGTTTCTGTGTAAGTGTATGGGCAATGATTGTTAGCTGATCTAATAACAAATTTTCCAAACTAACAACATAAGACAGCAACAAAATTACCACTGCAATCTTGGGAGTGAAAGTAAGGTTATACAGGCCACCCAAAGACAAAAGTTAATCAGCTGTAGCAGCCAAGCCCTACTAGAGCACAGCTACATACAAGTACTGTTTTGTTTCTCAAATTCTATAAGAGATGTAAACTTGTTCAATAGCTAAGCTGTTGGTGTTTTCTTTTTGTTTTGCATTTTTTTGTTAGGTTAAAACTTGTGTGACAGCTTTTCATGTGACATGCGGGTTCAAGCATGGTCTTGAAATGAGGACTGTGTTGGATGACACTGCCACAGATGGTGTCAGACACATTGTGAGTATCCTCTGACTTTGTTTGTCAGGAAATCCAACATGATTGGGAATTTACTGTTTTCATACCTGCTATTTAGTAAAATTATAGTTATCTGATTGTTTGGGATGGCAGCCCACTATTTGAGGGAATTGACAAAATTGATGCCAACCAGATTTCTGCATTTTTGTTGAAAGTTTTCATGTGGTTGATAAAAAAAATCTATCCATTGCTTTGCTTTTTCAACCTTTTTTAACCATACTATAATATTAAGGGTGGTAGAATGTTTTGTTATTACTTGCCTTTCGTGATATAGGCAATTGTGGGATTCTATGTAACAAGCATTATTTCCACTTAATGACTGAAATCAAATTGTGTTCTGCAGAGTTATTGCACCAAACACAGCCACAAAAGCAAATCACCCAACAAGAAAACTAGGGACGAGGACACAGGAACTCCCTCAACCTCAGAGGATGCAGAGAATTTGAGACAGAAGAGGTAAACCCACCGATTATTTTGTGTGGTTTTATAGAAATGGGGATGAAAAAATGTCCATAGGACAAAAGAGGGTTGTAATAGAAAATTTTGTAGAGAAGAGGATGACTTTTTTTTTTTTTTTCATTTGGGCATGCATCTTGGGATCACAGTGAATTTAAAACAAAATAACATGGTTACAAAGAATTCTTAGTGTTGTGTGTGATTTGATCACACATTAAAGAGGCGTATGTTTATGTTTTAAGGAGAGTCCCTTGAACTTTGGTTTTCCTACCATGATGGTTGATTCCATAGAGGCAGTATTCAACAAAAAAGATAAACTCATAATAAAAGATATCAGGTAGTGCACTGGTTGAACTGAAAAACCTGTAAAGTCTAGAATAATGTTCACAAATTTTGAATAAAACGAGGAATTGTTATTACTTTTCGTTGTCAACTCCGTTTAGACTGAAGCAAATGGAGGAAGAGTTTTACAAGTTTGTTACCCCTGCCGAGATTGCGAAAGACCTCAACCTTCCCAAAGAATTGGCTACCAAGATACATAAGTACTGGGCGCTCAAGAGAAAGGTATTACTTCTTTCAAAAGTTTATTTTTTTTGTTAGGTGTCGTTTAGTGATTATACTCATAAAACAAAATTTTTGGGTTTATCAGGCACAAGACGATATTCCTCTTCTGCCACCCACCCTCCAACAACAGGAAAAACTCTCAGGGAAACAGGTGAGAAATAAAGAGATTTACTCAAAATTGTATTAACCCTTCACACGTTAACATCAAGTTAACATCATCATGCAAATTCTCCATGCTGTTCTCTATACATTTCCTAAGTTGCTAACAAAGAGAATTAGTGTAATTTTAGTTAGTGATCATTTCCTTTACTCTCGGTACCTTAATGTTTGATTCAGAGGTCATATTGTAGGGAGAAATTAGATGCTAGTCACTCTTAGGGTCAAAGGGTTGCTGTGTATCGGAATCTTGTAATAGACTTTTTTTTTTATGATGTTTAGCCAGCAAGCCGAGAAGCCCCTCATCGGCGCTGAGCACGAGCGTTTTTTTGCCCGCGAATAAGTTAAAGGCCTGGAACAGAGCGAGCTCGTGACAAGTCTGCAAGGGATCTGACACAAATAATCAGTGCCAGACCCACAAAAGTTGAAATCATTGTCATAAATGTCTAATTTGTCCAGCTCGCCTAGTGTCCATTATGTCGATGGAACTTCTAAGCTCTATGTAGAATTGAAGTTCCTTCTTCATTGCTCTTTTTTTTTCATCAGGGCGCCGTTAATTCCTCCACCAATCTTCAGGCACAGTTAGAGAGGATTCTGAAATTACGGTGCAACCTCGAGAAGGTGAATAGATTGAATTCATCATCAGTACATGTTGACTTAACTTGAAAACTGTAAAATGTTCTTGGTTAAATACCAGCCCCTGCGAATAGCTGTTAGACATCGCCTCGCTTTATGGTTGGTGTGTTTTGGCCTCAGAACTCTCTTACCACTTACCACCTTAAACTTCCTTTTAGAATTCTGACCGCACAGGAAGTTTGACGGTCGGCTGTGCGGGACAACATTCAGTTTACCCTTTGCATACCCTTTTAGGAATATACTGTAGAGCTCTGTTTTCTGGAAACTCCTAAAGACGTATTTTACCTGATATACCAGAGATTTTTTAGGTGTTAGGAAACAAAGATACACCAGAGAAAAAAATTTAAGGGATGCGAGGAAAAGAAAGTCTGTACTGACTACTCAGGGTAGACTGCTACATACTCCTTCCATAATGTCTTCCTGATCTAATCCCTTGCGAAACTCGATAATTTTATTTTGCATCAAAAGTCATTTTAGGCCTTAATCCACGCAATATTTAATGTGTATCAATTTTGTTCTCTGTGTGTGTGTGTCAATCTCACACCTTTTCTTTTCCAGTTGCGCAACCTGTGTTACATGGTGACCAAGCGAGAAAAGATGCGGCGCGAGTTGTACCGCGCTCGGGAGGAAGTATTCTGGCAAGAGCATGCGGTGCTGACGGACGACTCCTCTGACCTGGATGACAACGCTGTACAACGGGTGTTAACCATGTGTAAGGATAACTTCAGTGGTGACGGCAGCCTCCCCGCTGCAGTAGAAGGTGGCTGCCCGGCAGAGTCTGCTCTGTCCTTTAGAGTTAGCAGTACGGCGGATTCTTCCAGTACGACCAGCAGCTCGGGAGACTGTTCCAGCACAGAGCATAGGTCCGTGAATGGAGGTGACTCGGGAGGTGAGGCCGCTGATGAAGAAGAAACCGAGGAGAGTGAAACAGAAGAAGATTTGTTCTCGTCACCAGCAAGGAGGACGAGAAGTAACAGTCTTCTTGTCAATCCGTCTTGCTTGTCGATAGATTCTGCAGCTGGCTCCATTAAAGAACCAGAGAGTATAGCCAGCGGAGTTATCGAAACTCCAACTAGAAAAAGAACTAGAGAAAAGACGCAAACCTCCCCTGAAGCGAGTGCGTCCACGCCAAAGCGTGTTCTTAGGAATACTGTACGAGAATCAGAAGAACCTGCCGTAGAACACGATAGCATTGAGTCTGAGACACCACGGAGACGAAAAATTCGACATTTGTCTTTTCCAAATGATGTGACAGACAATATAGAAGCTAATGATAAAGAGACAATTGAGTCGACCGAGGAAGATGGTGCTGTATCACAGAACTCGCGCACTAGATTTACTCGAACAGGAAATATATCAGGAAAAACAAAAACAGCTGAGATCAGAAGTGAAGGAGAAATGTCAGAGAAATCGGAAGTGGATGAGGAAAGTCGCAAAGAAAACGATCCGCTTAGACAAGAAAACATGGTTGAATTTGATAGGCCAGTTAGAACAGTGAGGGAAGCGAAACGAAAACGGTCTAAAAGCACAACAGCGATTGACGATGACAGGAGAGGTAAGCAAGCTCGAATAACGGAGTTCATGGGGCGAAAATCTCCCAACAGGAAGGATTTGAGTGCTCCAAAATCACCGCGAACACGAGCGAACAGAAGAAAAAGCGATTCTGAAGAAAGCGACCGAGTTGCAACAGACTCTGATGCGGATAATTCCAAACGTGCTCCCTCATCAAGGTCGTTTACTAATGGAAGAAAGACCTCAAGCGCCAACAGTTCATGTCCTCACTGCAAGCTTCAACACGATAAACTTACCAAGTGTAGCTGGCGTTACAAGGAAGGCAGCCACACGGCCGAGTGCGAGGATAACTGGAATAGAAGGGAACTACGGTTAAGAAGCTTCCAGTCGCCCAAATCTCGTGCGCGATGTTCGAGTGTTGTATCACCAAAGCCGCATTGTTGTGGAAGTCTTATGTCAAAGTTTTGTCACGCAACAGTGACATAAAATTGTTATTTCAACTAATTAAGGTCAATATTTGGTTGTGGGTCTTGGAGGAACCTGGGCGTACCATAAATGGTAAAGGTCCGTGAACGGATATCGTGTAACAGGAAGGCCCGATTCAAATGAGCAGTCTTTCGAATACGCTTTATGAAACCGTCGTCCACGCTCTTAATTAATTTTAGGGGAAGTTGATTAACAAGTTTTCGAAAACATTTCTCACGGAAGGTGTCGTTTTCCAAAGTTTTAATTTTACAGTGTTTCCTTGACCCACAACCAAATAGATAGGGTTTTTTTTTCTCGTTTAGATCAAGACAAAAATTAATAGAAATACCGGAAGTGATAAATAAGTGTTATCAGAATTGACTTAGAAGTATTGTAACTTCATTTTTTTTTAACTAAAAGCTATAGAAATTGCCAATATTTTTAAAATTTTTCTTGTCAAATACTGTCTGATTGGTACTGTGGTTTAGAACTTGCGATGTGCCATGTGATCTTAATTAATCACTTAACAAAAAAAATGAGATCTTGGTTTATTATCAAGATGTTGTTCTACAATCTGAAATAGTCCTTTTCGAGAGAACGTTGGAAATCCCAGCTTTTTGGTCATCTCCAGAATTTGCCAAGAGTCTTAACCTATTAAAAGTTTTTTTTTTCTAATTTGTACTTTGAAGTTTCGTCTTGTATCAATCTTTTTTCCCAAGAAGTCAGTTATACCCTGTCTTTTGTGAAGCGTTATGCGTGACCCGCGTTACATTCTGGTAGTCTAGATAGGTAGATCACAGGAAACTTTCGTTGCGTTATTATTGGGGTGTTCAAACTTTCGCAACTGGGGTTTGTTCTGTTAGTACGTAATTGTGTGTCAATAAAATTTGCCCTTCGTATTTACTTGGCTCTAACTTGTGGAACTTATTGTTAAATTGTGAAAGAAAAGAGAGAAGTGGATGGGAAAGCCTGCTTTAAAACTGTTCTTGCGTATGTTAGTGCACGCATGTTTCTTTCATAAACATGCAGATAAAACGGAGTTAAATTAAATTTACAGATCGGCTAGCTTCAATTTTCAAGACACAGAAAAGTTTGGCGGAGGAAATGGAAATTCTACCCCGTGTATGTTTCTAGCAAACTACAGGAATTCCATACTGCAGCTGTGAGATACGATCAAATTCTCATTAAAAACACCTTACCTTACTTCCACAGTGCATCGCTCGTTGTCTGATCGCTTACCATGTTGAAAAGAAGCCATTTTAGCGAGTTCTCCATTTCTGGGTTTACTAATCCTAAGAGAGTTCTTCTCTTAGGAGCACCAGTAAACCTAGAAATGGATAACTGGCTAAAATGGCCTCGTTGCTACAAAGTAGGCGGTCACGAAACAAGCAGTACACTGCGAAAGTAAGGTAAGATATTTTATTGAGAATTTGGCTGCACTCCACGGTCCAGATAAGTTTACTCTTGCAATGTTGCACTATCGAGCTTCCCCGACAAAGAACGCTTGCCACGGTAATTGTCGAGATATTTTAGCTGTATTGTGTGACATTTAGATAAGTGATTAGTGTTAGGTGATCTCTTTTCTTTTGATTTCAATCTAGACAATAGAATCAATTAATCAGCCCATATATCGTCGTTGTCTAGGATTTAGGGTGTGTCGCACGTCAGTGATAAAAAGAAAATCGGTACGTGATCAAAAAAAAGTGAATAAGAAAAATAAAAACCGTGAAGTTTGCGAAGAACAGCCTGGTGTTTTGGCATTCGCAACACAGGCGGATCGTAGGTTTGACCGACACGAGACATACTCTCCACTGATGGATTGATCATCCTACGCCGACAGTGAAGACCTGTGAGACAAACCAAGGGAATGAATGGCGGTAACGGTTAAAACACAGAAGAACACATCTCAGCTGAAAATATCAATAAGATGAAATGAAATGTCCGTGCACTGCAATTTCTCACTGAAGGCCTCGATGTTTTCTTCGTAGGTTTGTCAGGAAACCAGGTAATCAGCGATGAGAGCGTTAATATAAAAACGCGCACTTTAAACGGCCTGGAGAAGCTCAAGTCACCTCTCCATAGTGCACCAGTAATTGGTCGTATTTCAGTTCACTCTTGAAAGATTTTCAGACTAAGACGTGTGAAAAAGTTTTATCGTTATGTGTATTTAATGATTAACGCTTTACATTTCTTCGTTTTTCTCTCCCGATTTTGGTTTCCAGGAAAACCTCTTGTTTCCACCACATGTCAGCGTGTTTTTTAATTACCTAATAATGTTCTTTCTCTTCCTCGCTTCATACGTGTGTCTACGCTTGAAATCCAATGCCAATTACAAGGAAAACTGAAAAACGGATGAAAACAAACAACAGACGAAATTTCAGTTTCAATTTCCCACGACAATGGTTAGGATTTTTCCTTCAAAAACAGTCAATGATATCACGGAAAATATCCTTCACTCGTATGGACAACGTTGTGTCTAAATCTGATCTTTCTTCCACCAGAAACTTAAGTCAAATGAGACACTTTAACTATACGCAATGGGATTTAATGCGGCTTTTTATTATTGAATTCCTTTACGCTACAAATGTCCGTCAAATTGAACGAAATTGCCAAGGCTTACCGAAAGTGCATATGTATTGTAATAGAACTCAAAACTCCGCTTTCCGTTTTACCATGGAAAATTGTTTGGGAGAATTGAATTCAGATATTAAATGAATGAAAGTTTCATCGATTAATTCAAAAAAACATCTAGCGTTTTAACTTATTGAGTTACTTTTTGTGAATAATAAAATTATATTACAAACGGTTTTTAAGCCGTCAACCCTATTTAATAATGACACATTTATTACCACAAATTCATTTCGAAACCAATTTTTTGCTGGCAACCAAAGTGACATGAAAGAGAGAGAGAGAGAAAAGGAAGGATTAATAGGTTACTTATCGGCTTGAGGTCGTGACTGATGTCTTTGCTTAAAAATACTGCCCAGCCAGAAAAACGAAAGATATTTATGAAAATATTTTTGATTACTGAAAGCGTTATCGTGCCCGTGGGCAGGGAGAGAAAAATCCGCACTACATTAAGAACCAATCAGATTACAGAATTTGTACCGCTGATCTCTGAAAAAAAATAACATTCTTTATTTAAACACGTGTTGTCCAGGAGCTATAACTCGTTCAAATTACGAAAAGGAAACCCAACAGAGTTAGAGTTGGTTGGGGTCTAACATCAAGTGAGCACAGGGGACGCAAAACTCGACGTCTCTCTTCACTCTGACCCCAAATAGAATATATTCCTAAATTGAGAGAGGAGGTTTCGTCAACAGGTGATCCTTGCAGAGTGTTTTGTTCAATTTAACATTATGACCTGCAATGTGTCTGAAACAGATTCGTGCGGAGAAGGAGGTATTTGCGTTAGCTCTGTGGTAAATGTCAGTTCTTGTTACTGTAGCGAGGGCTATGTTTTCAACGATGGCGGTCTTTGCGAAGTACCAAGAATTCCCATGGCCTATTCTGCAGTGGCTTCTTTTTGCTGGCTGTGTTTTCTGCTCGTTTTGGGAAAGTTCCTTCGTCTCTACGTATGGTTCTTTCAACAGCTTTACCTCCCTGCCTCAGTCATCGGTGGCATCGTCGGGCTGGTTGTGCTCCAAGTAGCTCGTCTCGATCAAAGCGTCTCACAATTCATGGCACTGAATTTTACCAGGGGATGGTAAGATATTTATATTTTCTGTTACAGATTAGCAAAGAAGGCTAAAGAATGAATAGCGCGGCTCTCGCTTGTTTACTCGACGAGGCCAAAATGAGAATTAACAAAGATTTGATTTGAGGGCTTTAAAATTAAAACAAAATTCAGTGTTCACCTTTGATATATGAGATATTGGAATTCTGTCCTCTTGAATGAAATAATATTATTTTCTCTTCAAAGGCAAAAGAAACGCTTTACAATCTCAAATTTGAAACAAATATTACAAACAAATCTTGGTATCCCGCAGAGCACTTTTTTCACCCAGTTACCCACCCCGCGCGATAATAAAGGTATGGTCGTGTTGAAAGTATGCGCACTGGGTCCTACTGTTCTCTACTGTCTCTGTCAAGACGAAAAGGGCGCGCGGTTATAGGACTACAGCTGAAATCACACAAGCTGCATATTGTTCACCCACTGTTGTGTTCTGTTGGGTATGATGCGTGGTAATTACCATTCAACACAAAGGCAATTTTTTTTTTCGATCGTTTCCTGTGAGTGTGAATAAATTTCAGGGCTGTCTCTGTGGGTAACGTTTGTGGAAAAAATAAGAACCAAGGTCACCTTCAATGTGTGTTACTAGGAAAGGTATAGAAATGGCAAATTAAACAGGATAGCTTTATAGGTAATACAGTTTTTCTGATAAAAATCCTGGTAACACATGCAAAATATCGGTGCGTATATTCATAAAAATCTTTAAGAGAAAAGCGACGTAAGAAGTTAATTTCCATCAAAAAAGTAGGACAGTAGGAAGCCCCGTATTTGCGGCAACTTAAATTACTGGCATTATTTATTGAAAAAAAATCATTAAACTGGCTGCTTTTTTCCTGAGTTATGAAAGATTTTGTTAAGAGAAAGGCATTCTTCCAGTTTTTCCATTCTTCCGTATTTCAGATGTATTCTTTTGTTTCTACATGCAGCACTACGCAAGCGAAGAGTCGCTATAATAAGCACCTGAAATTTCGCCCTCAGGGTTTCTAGATTGCTCTACTAGTCGAAGACCTGGAGATATATACAAACTCGTAGAATCTTCGAATTAGTAAAATATATTCACGCCCAAATAAAACCAACTTTACAGCTTGATTTGAAGTAAATATTCTACCACTTGGTTGGCGCAATATCGTAGAATCATAAAGATTGTAAGTCCTTAACGTCGAGTTTTAAAGGCAGTTGATGTGCATGCGCAAGTCGTGACCAGTGAAAAATGATAAGCCTAACAGGGGAGATTGGGCCTGTTTGCCAAACTTTTCTTGCATGGAAACATGGAAAATTATTCATAAAATAAGACGAAAAACTCAACTTGATACAAAAAAAAAA